GTCTAAGAGACAACTGATCCCTGGATTACCTGTAAAAAATAATTGTACTAATTTCCAACAACAACATCAAATTAGGCTAAAATCATAATGGAAAGAATGAAACACCAATTTTCTCCACACTTCTTAAGATATATATTGATATCTTGGCTTCTGGCGTAAGAAAATAACTTTTAAACTAGCGTCTACCTTCGCTCTATTTGACGGCTGGTTTTCAATGAAATCAGCAAATCAAGGTGTCATTGCTATGTTATTTACTCTAAAATTCACCCACTTTTAAACTCAAATAGCCCAAAACGTTAGGGGTGCTATGGGGCGCTTTCCCAAGAAAGTATAATATATGAATCGAACATTAAATTCATGAGATTTTCGGCTTCTAGCTTTCAACCATCTTTATACAAAACGCGACTGAATCAACCCACTACGGTTGCTCGAAAACAAGACGCCATTTTGGAATATAGCACTTAAGGGCAACGTTATTCCTAGTTATCCAGCGAATATATCGCAACAAAAGATCCATACAGTAGCCTTAATCACTTCCCTTTTTGTGAAGTGCTCAACAGTTCGTTTGTTACTACTTTATGGGTAAAATCGCTGAAAAACAACACACTATGCTTCCCTTTGCACTCGAGTCGAGGGACCGTGTCCAGAGAGAGCGAGGCCTCTCATTGGTCAATGGCACCTCCCATACTACATTTCGGACCGTGTCCAATTTCCTCTGGTGAGATGCACAGGCCTTCAGGCTGGGGTTTCGACGGGTAGGTAAGGGTCTTAAGCCCCCCAGTTTCAGAAATTGAAATTTTTCGGGAAAAACGCTCATGATTCGGGCATCAGAACTTCGGGATTGAAGGCTTATTTCTCTTACGTTTGCTTTGCAAGAACGTAAATAAGGACAAACGACATGAGGGATCCTAATCCAGACAACTGTTTTAGAAAAACCATATATCAGTTAAATGAAAATCGACGATGTCAATATTATTTCCATTATAGATTTCCCATCAACAAGGCGATGGCTGTCTATAGAGGTCATAGAGTATAACTCGCTATTTGTGGAATTATAACAGTTTCGTTAGACATAAAGAAATGTGATCGTTTTTGTTTTTACTGCAATTTGATTGCTTTTGTATCCCGTTTATAATACTCACGCATTCGGGCATTGCGCATGTTTTTTTTTTTTCACGCCCCGTCGCCCAAGTCCGCACGCCCGCACCAATAATGGAAAGTTTTTGTAGTGTAATTTAAATATTTGCCTGCGAATAGGATTTTTATGTTTTTCCCTGACAATCTAATCTTAAATTATCTTGTTGCGTTACGGGTTGCGTGTCAACATCCGGGCATGTGCCGAGAGGTCATGGGGCTATATCAAAGGATGTCCCCTCTAGGGGCATGCATTACCATTGCACAGTCAATTGCCGTCGTGTCAGTCAATTCTTTGACTCACTGGGGAAGGAGTGTTTTTCCCTTCCCAACCCTGCCCTAGTTTGTCCTCTCAGCAGAGTTCTGGGTTGTTGTTTTGCAGTTTCGTTTTTGAGTGCCGTCACCTTTACTGGGCCAGAAAAATATTTAATTTTGTTCCTTGTAACTTGATCATGATCTCAAAACATAATTTTATTAAAGCAGCTATGGGCCTTTGTTCATAGCAATTTAATTTCAACAATGGTTTGTTCTGATATCATGTTGGGGCCCAGCAAACAATCTTCAGGATATGAAGCACTGGTTTATGTGTAGATGGGACGAAGGGGAAAAACATAAAGGAACATTTTTGATCAGTACGTTTGGCGATATCAGTCATTGACATTCATTTTTGTTTCCTTTTCTAGTTACTTTTGCAACTATCATCATTGTGATTTATGACGCCGATTTGTTTGGTCTAAATGCGTTTCAATTTTGATTGGCATTTTTCTTGGAAGAATTGTTACTTATAGTTGCGTGGTAGATTTCATTTCATTTCAAGTGATAGACTTTGCTTTTTCCTACGTTACAGCGGACAGAAATCTGAAACATCAGTGAAGAATTGTAATACCATAAACACAGAACAAACAGATTCTGATTTTATTTCTTGAAGTATAGTCTATGCTGGGTTGGGGATTAAGGTCATTGTCTTAAACGCCTTGGCATTGTGTATCTTCATCAAGACCAGGTCACTCAGAACTCGAAAGCACGTGATGGTTATCAATTTTGTTGTCGCAGACCTTTTGTTTGGAGCTTTCTTACCATTTTTGTTGGTCTACATACTTAAAACTCCTTTATACCTTACTTAACGGGCCATATTTTGACTACTTTTTCGAAATCAGGCTCTCTTATTACTCTTGTTGTCATTGCCTTGGAACGAATGCACGCAGTTATCTGGCCAATATACGACACCAAGGTATGGACAAAGTCTACAAAATAGCCCTTGTCGTTATTTGGATTTTATCGGCTGCTTAAACAACAATTCTGGCGATAGACGAACCTTTATTTCATTGCCTTTTAACTTCAATGGTGATCACATGAGCGACCTTCACGATAGTTGTTTGTAGATATCATTTCGAGGGAGAAAGCGACGTCAACTGGGAATTGCTGCAGTCAGGCGGGATAGTACCTTAGCAGTTACTCTGCTTATGGTAACAGGTTTTTCGTCTTTGGCTGGGCTATTCTCGCGTTTTATCTATGTATTATCAAATGGAGATATGCATGCAAACATTGTTACAAGCAATCTCCGACAGTTCTCAGATTTACCGTCGCAGCTCGTATAAACCCTTCAATCGCTGATCAACCCAGTTATTTATTCCTCGGCACTGCGCGCGTTTAGAGCTAGCTTGAGAGTAAGGTCAGTACGAGATTCGGGGACTCGTGAGTCAAGAAGGTATCCAGGAAAAGACAAACGACAACAGAAACTGAAATGGCCAGTGCTTCACTAAAGACTTGAGTATAATTAGTGGGTTAACTATTCGCCACACAGGGAACTTCCTGTTGCTTTTAATCTCGATCGCTAATCGACTAAGATACACGTGGAAACAACATGGTACTGGCAATGGTATCAGATGCTGCTCTACATCAGGATCAAGACAGCTAGTAAATGAAGACAAGCTAGCTGTACCGAAAGGTAACTTGCAATACAATAACAGTATATTTGATTAGAGTTGACATTAAAAAAAAATAAAAAAAATAAAAAAAATAACCTAAAGTTATTCTACTTACTAAATACAATTCGTTTGATTAATTAATAAACAAAACTAGACTTAAAGGATAACAAATGCATGAACTGAAAACTTATTCGTGTATTTATTTATTCTTTTCTGTCTATAAAATGTACGTTTTTTGTAACCATGAGTACAAATGATTTACAAATATATCGTGATTTGCTGGAAAGCAGATCAATTATTTGCCGAAAATGAAGGCCGAGGCAAATAATTGATCTGCGAGACACTGACAAATGACGATATTTTGCGATAACCGAGTTCAATAAATGCTATTTTATTCGATCACAAATTTGTTGTCTTATTTAGATCACTCTCTGACAGCTCAGGGGAGCAATGTGCCATTTTTGACTAGAGATCATGGTTACAATTACGCACGACTAGACGTATATTTGCAGCAACAAAATTTGGATTCTGTCAACTCTGGTGACGGCAGCTGCAACGTTACAATGGAATGGATTTTGGCAGATCGGAAACTTTGCTCCCCTTTTATCACCAGTCGTCATCGCCGGGATAATTTTCACTAGAATTACACGTTACGTGTGCATCTGGATAACAGTTCGACGAAGAAGACAACACAGACTTGCTGCCTCAGCAAAACAGGATAAAGCCCTGGCTGTGACCCTCTTATTTGTTGGAGGGGCCTTCTTAATCACGTGGGGCATTTCGATATTGTATGTGTCCATTGCTCGGGTCTGCAAAAATTGCTACCAGCTACAGGTTACAGCCATCAGAGGAGTAATGCTCCTGTTTGCTGTACAGTCATTGGTCAATCCGGTTATTTACTGCTTTCTACTGCCATCGATTAAAGATAGTTTGAAAGCAGGAATTAAAGAAATGGTAGGTTCATAGGCTACTCAAACAAGAGAACAGGTTCGTTAAAGAAAAATAATAGTTGAAACTGAAATGCACTCTACCTCGGAAATTGAGGCCATTAATTAATTTCTCCAAAATACCATAGTTTAGTCAGGCATGATCAGTGGTATTGAACTGAGACTAAGAAAAAGAAAATGGTGCCACGGGCTAATAAGAAAAATTAAAAACCATGGGACGTTTCGATTAAAATTCTGTAAACTTCTTCAGAAGATGTAAATGATGTGCTTTTAAGAACGGACCTTAACAAAATACAGATTATGTGGGGATATTCTGTCACTCACTCAAAGAGCAGAATCAAGAAACGCCTTAAATGGTTGGAGAAACCTCGGTGAGGTTTCTAGCCTCGGTACCTTTTCGGATTCCTCGATTTTAAATTCTTAACAAGAGTTAAACATGTCAAATTTGCCTAAGTATTTTAAAATGTCCTTTCTTCATGGTGGGTGCTTGGCTTGATTAGGCACCCGCCCTAACAGAAATTATGAGGCATTTGGGTGAGTTTCCTGGCTAATGTAATCCTTTATTGCTACGTAACTTCCAATGCAAGACTGCAAAACCACAGGCAGCCCAAACAAGCGGCGTGCCTCTTTGTATGTTCGAAGTATAAAGAAATGTATGGGAATATTAAAGAGTCTTAATATCGTAAACTGATGTCGAATAATGTCCATGTTAAAGCTCAAAATAAACGTAAATCTACATCAGTTGTTGTGTATTGTCATTTCTGCGGCTCAAAATGGCGAATTTGAGCCATTTGGTGGGTTTTGCGTTGACTGTTACCACACGTTATTTCGAGCTTTAACATGGACATTACTTGATATCAGTTTACGATGGTTAAGATTCTTTAATATTCCCATACATTTCTTTATATTTCGAACATACCAACAGACACGCCGCTTGTATGGGCCCCCTGTGGCTAAACAATCGTTCATTCCACCTGACACATTCCACCGGTTTTTTTTTTTTTTAATTTGGTTAATAGACAGTTACAAGGATGCATGCCACGGATGACCTATACCTTAACACTTTATGTTTTTTGCCGCCTCGGAACTGCTTCCACCCTTGGCACTGCTGCACTACTGTTACCATATTTGCGCTTGAGGCAAGTTTCACGAGAGAGCTCTGTATAAGAAGCCTTTAGCCTCTGTTCTTAATAAAGTTCTCGTGCAAAGCGTCAGATGAAAAATGAATTTCTCTCACGACAATGAACGTGCATTTGAAACTCATTTTCACTTGAATGGTTTTGCACAATGACTCGTTTTCACAAATTGCCAAAGGCAGCACGGAAATGAGCAATTATTGTTCGAATTAACTGCTTACTAGTAATGTTCCCCAGTGGTATTTTTACCTCCAGTCGTTGATCATGACGGACTGAGGTCGCTGACTTCCAATCGGCTAAACGACAGCAAGACGGGAGGAGCTTCAACCCAGCTGGTATTTTCTAGCTGACTTAGCTGCGATTGTCTTTCTCGAATTTTCCCTTTACAAGCAAAGATATTTCTCAATGTCTTCCGGAACTCAGGCATTCGATAACTGTATATTATTGGATTAACCAAAGAGTTCGCCAACCGACAAATCTGTCCTGCCAAATACGCATCTCCTTCCTTTTTTCCTGTCATGGTGCGAAGAACATTAGTTACTCCATGCGGAATCCAAGTCATCACTGACAACAATGTGACAATGAAAAGAGTTTTTGCCAGTTTCTTGTTTTGTTGCCGACGATTTATCGCTAATCTCGGATCGTCTTTTGTGGAATAAATGAATATTGTTAGGTAGGCAACGGAAATAATTATCAAGCAAGAAGCTGTAAAGGTCGATATAACCACAGGTTGAAGTATATGGTCAAGTGAAAGGTAAGAAAAAATGGAATATGTTGTTATGATAAGCATTGCTGAAACAATCCAGGTTGCTCCAATGAAGTAGAAGTAGGTTGATGTTTTCGTGGTGCGGCGGCGTAAAGGACTTACGATGGCATAAAGCCTTTCTAAAGCAATGAGAACTAAAAACGACAGTGATGCAATGCCACAAGTTGCGTCTACTAAATTTGTCTTTTCAGATATCTGACACACGTTATTTCTTATGGGGAGACACACAATATCATTAATGACACCAACACCAACCATCAGATCAGCGACGGAGAGGTTTATCAAAAGATAGCTAGTTCGCTTCAGCGTTGATCTTTGTTTCCAAAAAACAACGATGCTGATGGTATTTCCCACAATTATTGCTAAGCTTTCAAGAGAGAAGACAGTCATCCAGAGAATTAACTCTGTGTTCGTAAAGCTCTCTGCCATTTTTTTCTCCTCAGGTGAATGCTAAATCCTGAAGAAAACCGCTAGGAAATCCGCCAGAAATGCTCACCTCTTGTGACTCATTAACAGCATTAACTGGCCTTAGCAGCCGCTCACCACTGCAAACTAGTTGATTTGTACATCTACGTTTTCACCGAAGTGGCCAGAGTCATAAGCGTTAAGTTTCTCATCTCATTGAGGAAATTGCGCTATAGTGTGTTAAATGAACACAAACCGGCACCAATGGTAGATTCTAAGGGTTTTTAATTAACGACTGAGAAAATTGCTTCATTGTGATTGTCAGTGAGCCAGCCCGTGATGTATCTTTAATTTTTAATTTGCACTGCTGTGGAAATTAAAGCGCGAGCATTCGTAATTTTCTTGGTCATGTAATAAATGAGTTATCGTGCGTATGAAAGCTCGAGCAATTGCAATTAAAAATCTACTTGCGATTCGTGATACTTGAAAATTCTTTAAAATTGCACTTGCCTAAGGGTAGTGCAATTTTGAGAGAATTTTGAAATTTCATTTATAGTGTTAATCCTTAATTGCACTTGCATTCTTACGATTACCTATATTGATAACGAGATTATTTCCATTCGGTTTAAGCATTTTCCAAACACAGCTGCTTATGTAACTTCAACATGGCTGTCTTATAATATATAGAGAGTGTAAAGGATATTTCTATTTGAACCGAGAGTATAAAAATCTGTTCTTTAATTTGTCCAGAAGAAGTTAATTGAGTATGAATTCGACTCTTTTAATACCAAACCGATGTAATTGCAGTTGCATTGGGTTTTGGTAGAAAATTAATTTTGCTCATAAATGTAAGCTGAATATTCATCTTCTCTTTGTAAACAATGCTTCTGTTTAATAATAAATAAGTTACCTGCTTTAAGTCTACCTCCGAATAACTTAATTTGTATACTTTTGTCGTGTAGGGGCAGCTGTTCTGGGAGACCACTGTTACACAAGATATGATTCCTTAATAAAAACTTAAACTTTACTAATCTAAGGAACGGAACGGAACAATGATCGACTACGTGGAGCTGTCGTTTGAGAACGGAGACAACAACGAACCTCTGGTACTGTAACACCGATATCGTTTTTCCTGGTAGCTCGGAGAGCTCCGTGACTGTCATGTTCTTTCTTTTTTTGAAGTGACTCTGGGGTGACCAACTGCTTCTCAGTCCTGCTCGGGGAAAGCCAATAGCTATCAATAATGATTTTAAGTCCGTACTGCGCACTCTCGAGAGTTTATTTGCGCTTTTGTTGTGCTTCATTTACGACGTCGACTACTTACATCAGTGTAGCAAATTCAAAGTTTCATGTCAACCGTCATTAGGCAGTTTTTATACAGTTTTATTTATTCCCATTACAAATTAAAAGTCACAACTTACCCGCGTATAGCATAGTCTAATCTAGGCATGCATTGTAATAAATAATAATACATTAAGTCACAATAAAAAAAGAATGAATAAAATTATATTAACTAACACCTACAAGCAAGTACAACGAGTCGAACTAGTGAAGTAGGGCTAATGATCAAAAGAAATGTACAGTCATGAGATACAATAATTATGGGTATTCAACATCAAGACTAGCGAATGGGCGTCAACATAATCATCCCCAATCCCGAACACAGTTCTAGTATAAAATGTTCCAGAATATTCTTAACATCCGTTTGTTTCACATTTTAAACATTTTATAATAGTCATGTTGAAGCATTTTATTAGTACTTTTTAACTGCGTGCCTGCCTTCCTTCCTTCCTCCCTCCCTCCCTCCCTCCCTTCCTTCCTTCCTTCCTTCCTTCCTTCTTTCCTTCCTTACTGCCTACCTGCCTGCCTTCCTTCCTTCCTTCGTTCCTTCCTTCATTCATTCCTTATTTAATCACTAAATTACTAAATTATTAAATTCTTTAATTGCTCGTTTGCTTCCTTCCGTCCTTTCTTTAATTTAGATAAATAGGCCCCGTTTGCCCCCGATGAAATGAAATCATACTCCCGCAGACACATTAATAATAATAACAACGACAACAACGAGGACGACGACGACAATAATAATGATAATACTAATAAATTTAATAAATTTAGTAAAAAGGAAGGTCTTGAGTCCTATAAAGTAAACGATCATAAACACGTGTTCTATCGATGTTGTAACTTCGGCAAACGTTTCTGATGTTAATGAAGCATGTTAGGAGAAGCAGCGATGGCGTTGACATTTCTTAGTGCGAAAATTCGATTCTCTCGTTTCCTAAAGGAAGCTTTCGTCAGTAAACCTCTATACTCGGGAATTCGAAAGCAGTAAACTATCGGATTTATAAACGAGTTAACCAAGCGAAAAATCTGTCCGGTACGATACAAATCTCCCTTCTTGGTGCCATTCAGGATGTAGGACCCTATGTAGCGGTAAGCATTGATAACTGCATGTGGAAACCAAGTCATCACTGACAAGCTGGTAACGATGAAAAGAGTTTTGGCAAGGCTCCTACTTTGCCTACGTTGACGCTGCTGCATCCCTGGAGCTTCTCTCTTAGTATAGATGAATATTACTGAATATGCAACGCAAATAATTATCAAGCCTATTATTTGTAAAAGCGATAAAAACACAGGCTGTACTGAAAGGTTGATTGAGAAGTGAAAAAAAAGTGGGTATATAATCAAGAAAAGCATTGCTGACAACACCCAGCCTGCTGAAATAAAATAGAAGTACGTTGACGTTTTCGTCCCTCGTTGTCGTAAGGGGGAAAGGACTGCAAAGAGTCTTTCTAAAGAAATGAGAACCAGAAATATCAGCGAAGCCATGGCAAAACTTGAGTCAACTAAAATTGTTTTCTGGATGATGTTGCATCCTTGGCTGTTTAGCGGAAGACACACAATATCGTCAATTGCACAAACACCAACCATGAAATCAGCAGCCGAGAGGTTAGTCAAAAGATAGCGAGTTCTTTTGAGTTTTGATCTTTGTTTCCAAAACACAGGGATGGCGACAGCATTTCCAACAATGATCACGAAGCATTCCACAGCGAAAGCTAGCGTCCATAGAATTACTTCAAAAGAGAGGTCTTCTGCCATATAAGTTTGGATGTCTCTGCAAGAGGGAAAATTACGTTGTTTATTTTTGTGACGCCTGTTCTCTCCAATTCAACTCTTCAGTAGGTGGAAGACTATAACGGGTCGCTGCATGCAAGTTAGTTAAACCATGCCAAACTCTAGCCAACTTGTTTCTGCTTCAGCTTGATCTTTATGCTGATTACAAACTCAGTTTTCTAAATTGGTGCGGCAAAAACGAGTTTTTCATTTTAGCTTAGCTGTGACCTTGAATATCCAGCTTTTTCCTTCCAGACACTAATGACAACTTTAATATGCTAAAAATAATTTGTAAAGAAAATTAGACACACCTGTTTTCGTTACTAAGCAACATTTGTGGTGAAATACTAAAGAATGGAACTTGTTCATGCTACCCCACAGAAAGTGATCCAAACTGTACTCTATGAAAAGCAGTCGTTTGTCTGGCAACTCCCTCCAGCGTAAATTAAACAAATGACGCAATAAGAGCTAACCCCTGCAAGGATATCAGTTTTGATAATAGCCGTTTAATAGTTTTTTTTGTCCAAGTTTGAGTAAAAGTATGCACTCGACATGAACTGCTCATTCTACTGTGAGTGAATATTACAATCATGATGTCGAAAGTGAAAATAATTAGGGACCTTACGATTATACGAAGACGACACCGAGGAAGACGCCTGTTTATTAAGGCTGATTTTCACTAGCGCATAAGCATATAGTGATATCGTCTTTTATTGCTAAATTTCCCCGAAAAAGGGTGCTAATAATATACGTCACTCAAGCTTAACGCCCTAGTCAGTGAAAACCAAACATTAAAAAGCGTATAGTATTTATATGTTAATTCAGAATTTCGTAATTATCTAGATCGATATAGAGTGTCTGTCGGTATAAAAGGGTGAAAATTATTAACGTCTTGATGAGTCGCTTATGCTTATCCACTAATAAAAACCAACCTTTACAAAAGCGTGTTTATACAGTCAAACCTCCGGTTGCGACCACCTCACGTAAGCGACCACCTCTCCTCAGCGACTAGTTTCCCAAATTACCCTATTTAATATATATATATTGCCGCAGCTAATCGCCGTCGCAAAGTACAGCAACGACGCAGCTCAACAAGGTCGAACCGAAAACATACATTTAAGGATCGAGAACCTGAAAAACCATACCCTATCCCGCAGCACATACCTATATAGCCCATATATAGGAGTATTCCCCCCCCTCCCTCCGGGAAAATGTCTTTTGTTGTTAACCAGATGATAGAGCGGAAATTGGATAATAAGGTGTTGTCACATTATCGTATTCCTGAAGAAACGAAAATTTCAAAATGGGAAGTACCGGACTTTTTCTTTTTCAATTAACTTTGGACATGAATAAAACATTTAAAACATGGGCAATTAAGTCTCTGCAGTTACCATTTACTAATGAGGTAAAATTTTGACCCAATATGGTCTAATGGTCAATAAGCGACCACCTCCCGCAAAAGGACCATGGTCGCTTACGAGGAGGTTCGACTGCATTACAAGTAGAAATACGAAACTGATAAGCCGTTCTGCAAAATGCTGAGAAATTGGTTATTTCAAGTTCTTGTTTTGCAAAAGACAGCAGTTAAATGTACAAAGGTGCTTAATGAGCGTGCTGATCCATTGTTCTGCTCATTAAGCCTTTTGTCTGGTGACCTTCTCGTTGCCGTTGCCGTCGTGTTTTGAGTGAGGTCCATATTAACAAGGATCATGGTGTCTCATGCATACATTTGATATGAGCAGCTTTGTTCAAAACGCGAATAAAAACGCTTCATATATATATCCTTTAACGTTTGACTGCATAAATATTAATGTTTCTAACTACATGTGCCTCACACATTTCTAGTAGAAATAATAAGAAAAAAAACTTAGAGCAAATAAATATTTGGTTGTAAACAGTACCTGACTCCAATGTGACTTTCCAGCTCGAAATACACCCGGTAAACCAACGTGCAAGGTATAAACCCTACTAAGAATCCGACAAAGTTCTCCAGTAGGCCGGCTCAGCAAAAGGTAAC